ATGATTAACTAAACCATGATTCTTGTGTACAAACCATGATCATATTTCACGAGTCCATACTGTGCCCAAAAAACCACAAAACAACAATGCGAATAACAGATGGATCCATCACTTGCTCGCAAGCGTAATACGGTTGGGTTTGCCCAGGCTAAAGCAGGCGAATTTCGTAGGGGGATTCACAACCGGATTTTTCGGTCAACCAAAGTTTGACCCTGAAAACAGCAGGCCGCGGAGTGTGAAAACTATAATCCAAAGGATCCATCGGATTCTACACCCTCTGGATGGGTGCAGACATTTGAAGTGCCTAATACTCCTTGATGGTCAATCAAGTCGGTAGATAGTGCCAGAAGCAGAGATGGGTGTGCTTTGCACGTCTGTTCATTTGGTTTGGAATAAGAGATTTTAGCCCCTTCCCTTCCACGTGAACTACCAGTGGTTCACAGCTCCAGTAATACACCCGGATCGTGACTTTGTTTCCCCGTTTTACATTGGTGGTGAGCAAATCATACATTTTGTGCACATGTGGACTCAGTTGGCTGATGAACCCCCGTGAGTTACTCTGCTCAGTGTGGCTGAGATAGTGGAAAACCTACAGTTACGATCCGACATCTGCTGGTAAGCATCGGAAGTTGTATCAAATAAGACACTGTAAATGCATAAGATGATTTATTCCCATGGTGATATGCGGTACTACGCTTACATGAAGACGGTAGCAAAAAACTACGGTGCTGATCAAACAACTGGGCGGTGATCGCTGTGGCAAATAACCAAGTATCAAGTACTAATGAAAGTGTGTTGAGCGTGAAGTAAATCAGGACAATGATTGGTATCATCGGTGGAAACCGCCCAGTATACAAACAGACACACACGCATACAGTCGTCATTCGCCTCATACAAAGGACTATTTCATTGGATCGATTTACAGCACATGCCGCCCGATGATACATACGCTACTGTTCGGTCGATTTCGTGCGTGCGCGTGTAGGCTAGCAGCTGAATAACTTCACATCATCATCCCCGATGATCTAGCAGACTGACTGCGAGGTCAGAATATCATAGTGCTGAATTGAATAGATGTGTGCCTGTGCCTGAGTGTGTTTGTGGGTCGATGAGATAGATCCAGCAAATACGCAGTTGGGTTGCGTATGTGTAGTGGCATGTGCGCTGATGTTTCGGTTCCAGATTGGTGGGACAATCCGGTCGTTCGTACAAAAGCCGACCACAAAAATCCAACTTATCTTTGTGACTCGACCGGAACGCTTTAGCCGGTGGTCTGAGATGTATTGCACATGTTCGCGTGTATTACAGAAGCATTCAATTACACCAATGAAATCAGATTCAAGCCTTAGGTGTCTACTCGCGGAGAGATGAAGAGATAATAACAGCAGCACAGCACGTGACTTACCGTTTTCCAATCCAAACCTTCCAAATCAACCAAGATGCGCATTAGTTCCGGAATAGCCAAGGACGGGTGAGTGTCATTCAGTTGCAGGGCTACTTTATCGGGAAATTCGTTGAAAGTCGAGTGCGGAATTCCACCGCTTCGATAGCGACGAATGACATCCTGCAAAGACAGTGAGAGTAAATTTGTTGAAAAATTGGAAAACGAATAACGGTGTTCGAAGATACGCAAAGTTTACTGAGGCTTGTAAATATTTTAACCGTTTCACCAACTACTCCAAATGGTTACAATACAAAGCATTACTAAAAAATGATAATTGTAGAAAAATTCATTCATATTATTTGCTCATCTAATACCGAATAAATTGATCTGTGTTTACGGTTGTCTCGGATGCAGGTACAACAAGCCACATTTCGAACAGATCAGTGATACGTTTTGGGCTACTTTTACGCATTAAGTGATAAATCCTCTGTTGAATGGATGACCTTCAACAACCCTATTTACACCACCACCACCACCAACAACAACAACAACAACAACAACATTCATATCCCAATGTACTCGCTACAATTAAAAGGGGGATATCGAGAGGAATTGAAGATTAACCACACAAACTCATCGTCGAACTAGTCAAGAGCTGGAAATCTTGCTGAAATTCACTTTCACATAAACACTCGGTGTCAATCTGTTTCGAATGGTCTTATTTCATGGAGAAAAGCTGTTCCTTGGGGTTGAAATCAGCTACATCCACAAAACAACAAACGATACCGTATCAGTTAGGTGGTGACCGATCGCAAATATTCTCATAATGTGTTACTGATCGGTTCATCTTCTTTTCTGTCGGAAGGAAATTCATCCGCATACTTTGCTTGCTATCCATGAATGGTCAAAGCCTAGACCGGAATAAAGATAATGTGTTGTTCGAATTCATCACAATTAATGATGCGAACCAGTGCCGACCTCCCGCTACGCTTGCTCAACATTTTGGTACATATGATTTTAGAAAGTGCCTGAATATATAGTATATATTGAAATAAGTAGTGTATTGATGAGTTGATAAAAATTTTCTCGAAGCGAACGGCCAGTTTCGCGATTTTGGTCGCTCATCAGGCACGCGTATCTGGAATTCATTGATTACTCCACCCATATACTTGTATATTATTATTATATTTCACACACGTCTGGTGCCAAACTGTGCCAAACACAATCGCGGTACAGTAATCATTATAATAAGAAAAACGTTTCACGATTTGCATACACTTGTACGCAGGAAGTGTATTTTTGTCTGAGTCCAGACTGGGTGCCAAACAAACAGCGGTGTGCACAGCATACACTTATTTCCTTCACGAGCTTCATTTAACTGTATTCTGTATGCTTACAGCTGTTCATTTTCCAGCTTCCTACCTCTTTCCTCTACTCCATCCAAATGGACAGCCAAAAGACAGCAATCCTAATTGCGAAGGGAAGATGCAATGTTTCGGGTTGTATAAATCCAAAAATGAAACGGTAAAGGTAAATTTTAATCTTAACGCTACCACAATAGTTAACTTGGAAATAGTCTAAGACAAATGCATACCGCTCTTATAGTCTCTTCCACAAACCATGGAGACCTTTTCATAAAATTGCTCCACAGTTTTTATTTCAAAATCCAGGGTCTCAAATGGTGTGCCAATCAAATCAGAGTACACCTAGGTACAATTTGATTCAGCGAATACGAGCGAAACAAAAATATTTACCGAATACACAGCAGATTAGTGTACAGTGATCAAGTTTACTTCTTCGCGAGCTGATATTTTCTGTGACCGTGGGACATATTTTTCTCACTTTTAAACAAATGGCTCACAAGTGGAGACGGAGACGAAATTTGTAGCGGTCTTTGTCTATGAATGAACTTGACACAAGGAGCTCTTTTCGTTCGAGGAAACATTTTGTGATAGGAAAATAAGCAACATTTCTTTTTATTTCAATCGCTGTATTCACACACAGAGATCAACAACAGCGCGTTCCAAATACCAAGCTGGTGGTCCATCCTGTTTTTCTGAATGAACAGGGCTGTACCGTTAACTCAATTCCTGGAGACAAGTACATACGTTCACAGCTTTCGGAATAAACAGATTACAGTGAAACAGTGAATACGTTAAACTAACCTGGAGGGTAGCAGCTACAAGGAAGTATTCCTGGCGCAGACGTAGCTCTTTACCTACGAAAAAGTTGTCGTTCGGATACAATACACGAGATATATTCTCCGCGTGATTCCGTCCGCAAACAGCCTGAAATGGAATAATTAGGGCTTTTGGTCATGACTCCACAAACAAGATGAAGTGTGTCAAAGGAACTCGATTTTTTTCTCTCACACGATGTTCTGCGTACAAAGATCAAAGAGAACGTGAACTGAGAAGCACTCAATAGACCGACCAAGTTGGAAACAACTGCACACTACTCTCCAGCTATTCCGCTCACGTGTCCTTTGGACGACGAAATTCATGATGTCATCAAGTTGAATCAAATTCTTCACTACTCAGTTGATCATAAATTGTGTTTTAGCAGCAAAAAAGCTGTACCTCACTTTAAAATTA